GTGACCACTGTTCTGATTTCTGTCACCAGCAGTTTTGCTGAATCGGGAAGTCTATAGCATACACTCTGTGGCTTCTTTCAGTGTGATTTTTTTATCGGCAAGCTGTATTCTGTAATATTAATATACCACAATTTATTTATCTTTTTGCCTCCTGGTGGTTTTCTGTTTGGGGCTATTGTGATTCAAGCTGCTATGAACATTCTTGTTCAAGTTTTTGGATGGAAGCTTCAAATGTTTTATGTTGAGAAGTTTAAAATGTCATATTTGGCTTATTGGCTGCTGTTCTGGAGGTCATCTTTAGCGGGATCCTGGCAGGTTGAGGTAGCACCAGAGAAGCCCGAGCATTTGTACCCTGTGGTCAGCAATTGTAATGTGGTTCCTCTTCAAAAGAGTAACTCTACTTTCCTGATCATTTAATTTTAATATTCGTCAAAAGCTGTTTTATTTTAAAATATTATGTTTTACTAAGTGATGTTCATTTTAATTTTTTCTAATCATTCTTTGCAACTGGATACTTGGCTTACTATGAGACTCATACTCTTATGTAAGTGATTCCTCATCTTAAAGTTGCATAAGGGCTGGGTGCAGTGGCTCATCCCTCTGTAATCCCAGCACTATGGGAGGCCAAGGTGGGAGGATTGCTTGAGGCCAGGAGTTCGAGGTTACAGTGAGCTGTGATGACACCACTGCACACCTGCCTGGGCAACAGAGTGAGACCCTGTCTCTTAAAAAAATAAAAGTTGCATAAGGTGCAAAAAAGTATATCTACGTAGGTACATCATGGAGTTACATATCAATAACCCGTAGGAAAATCTGACTTTGATTTGTACAGAAACTTTATCCGAAAAGACTGAAGATGCTTCCATTAGCAAAACTACACAGCCACATCTGAAAAGGTACGTCCACCCGCTTCTGGGGCGTCTACTTCGCCTAACCAGTGAATGAGTATTGATGAGCATGCAGGTCTTTTTCTTCCTTCTAGCTTCCACCCACAAATAAAGTGGTTCCAAAAAGATGATGCCGTCATCTTAAAGATAAGACTAAGGAATGTAAAAGATTACAAATGTAAATATTTTAGAGATAGAGTCATCTTCAGGTAGG